GCGTCACAACACCCAAACCCAAGCAGAGGAAGGATCCCTGTAACCCCCAACGAACTCGACTGATAGAATTGACGTCTGAGGCAACAGTACAACTCGATTAATCGACATAATCAAATTCCACACAATTAAAATTGACTATTTCATTACAAAGAAAAAAGGTATTATTTGTTTTTGATAATCACACGTGAATAAAAAATTAACTTGTTGTTCATGGACAAAATTAATCTAATTCATGAATCCTTTAAGAACATCAAATGCATTTTAATAGGAAAAAAACATTGCTAAGTAATCATTAAATGGGATAAATGGCATTGTTATAAGAAACTGAACAAGGGATGTGGATCACACATGGAGGATTCCGTACTGAACCAAATAAGCAAATCTAACATTTTTCTATGGTCTAACCTAGAAAGGCTTAAAAGGAATACAAAAAGAACAAAAATAAAAAGAGAACATTGTTAACAAACAAATCACGACCTCACAAAAAACACTCTTTCAAGAACCACAATTGCTTCGATGAGATTTAATTCAACCCTACATAAGTCTTATGGTGATTTATATGTCCCAGCTTTCATAAGAGATGACATCAAATCATGAATCACAAGTGTGATGATCCTACTAGAATGTTAGTAACAAGCTTCAATAATCAAAGATCAAAATAAAGACTCAAATAATATATCTGCTTAATTGTAGCCTAGTTCAATCATAATTTCTCATCTAAGAACTTTAATAAAGTAGTTGATACAAAATAATCTAAAGATAAATTATTTGTAGCTACAAAATGTGTAAACCATGTATAATATTTGCATAAATTAGGAACCTTTTCATTTATAACACTTAAATTGATTATATAATTCTTCATATTCACTACACCTTAGATATTTCTATTTAAGTGTATGTTCCAGCCAAAACATGTTGATTTTGTTTCACTACCAACACATAACATAATAATTGAGCATGTCTCACTAATTTTATTTTGGCAACATTGAATAAACTCGCTATGGAAGACTTAAATTATGTATTTTACGCATTTAATCCAGTATACAAGTAACAGATCTTGATCAAATAATCAAAACAATTCATCAATTAGCTCTGTACAAATTAGAGTTGACAAAAGCAAAAAATTGTCTTGGAAATACGTAGACCAACTGCAGATAAGAAACTAAATAGACACTGACAAAGTCCTCATAAACCAACAAAATAAACTTTGATATTCCTAACCATCAGACTTGCTCAAAATTCAAAAATAAGGACGGCTAACCCATTTGCATCTATTTAGAGTAGAATCAACATCAGTATATAAGGATTTTACCATGTCACCTTCTTGTACATACCACTGGAGCTTATCAACAATCTGTGTAAAAATATGAGCCAGGCAAAAATTAGATGACATTAATAAGATCAAATCACAACATCCATATTTAAAATTAATCAGATCACAATAATCACACTAATGCAACAGCAACTCTTGAAACTTATAACTGTTAGCCCATAATGAAACTGTAGATATGTCTTGAGAATCACATAAAAGTAGTTAATTTCATTTAGATATTTGATATAATTTAAAAGAAAAAAAAATACACATTGCTTTTCGTAGGTCATCCTTAATGTTAAAAGTCCAACTTAGCTGAATGCAAGTAGGATTTAAGTAAATCCCGCTATTCTAAGCCCTGTTAACACAACTTATGAATCTGATTTTAGTAAGGGATTGTTTGATTGCAAGTATTCTAAATAGATGTGTATTCAAAAGCAATGCAAATTAAACATAATAAATTATAAATATTTAAGGTTGTTCCATTGGTCGTACAACAAAATTAGAAAATCACATTTTTGTGTTTAGTTGGCTAAAAAATGAATCAAACTTTTTGTATTAATATGTTATTTTAAATATAATTTTTTGCATAAAATATTTTTATATTAATTTTTTTAGCACATGATAGTTAGGTTGTCAGAATGAGAATCAAGGGGATTGCAGTGATGCAAGATACGGTTGGCATGGATGACGTATGCAGAGACGAAGGCAACTACAACACGAGGATGGATGAATAAAATCGCAGCACAACATGAGAACAAGATCAGGATGGATGTTGGTAATTTAAGGGAAAATATTGGCAGCTTCAACAATGTAGGGAAAGAGATAATATGAAGTTTTATTTCATGTAAGAATAATGCATTCCAAATTCGGTGGGTGAATTTTGAATGCACCAAAAAAGGTCTATTGGGAGCATTCTAAATTTCTCAAAAAGAATGCTTTACATGTATTTTACTTCCACCCAAACACCTGAAAAATCCAAAAACCTACATTTTTTTACTCAAAATTCCAAACACATCAAATAACCCAATAAATCCTTTTAAATCCCAACAACCATTTGAATGTGCATAAATTTAATCCGAGCTAATTTTTAAAAATTATTTGGATGCAAGAAGATTAAGACTTCTGAATTAGATTTGTGAGTGATATGATCAATTAAGCAAATCATTTAGAAATTAATTATAGTATGACAATAATTTAGAACTAAATTGGGTTATCAATAAGCTAATTGATACCTATATAATCAAATTACTAATTTAATATATGTTAATAAGAAATTACATATAGATTAGCTAATTAAAATATAACATAACCTAAAGTCAAAAACCAATGGCTAGGATGTTCACTTATGATCATTAGGGCTTCAGTAGAAATTAATTACATTAATAAATGCTTAGATTTAAAAAATTACATGTTAGTTATACTTAATTTCACAATTAAATATGAATCAGCTAATCCAAATAAATAAAGCTAGTAATTATTTAGTTATTATTACGATGCCAAATTATAGCATAATTATGGCCTAATTAGTATTATTTGCTCGTTATTATCAATATTAGGATAGGCTGCATAACTGATTATAAAATAATAAAAAACTAAATTTCTATTACTTGCCTTCATAAATCGAGTTAAATCCCATAGAATCTCAACATAGGCCAAATTAAACAAATTTGACAATATACCTGATTAGGGGTGCAAACGAGTCAAGCCGACTCACGAGCCGGCTCGAACTCGACTTGGTAACTAGCTCGACGAGTCGAGCTTATCGAGCTCGATGACTTATCGAGCTCGACCAGACCTCCGACTCGGCTCGTTGGCTCGTCGAGTTGCTCGTGTGTGTGATTGGGCGAGAAAAAAAATTTGGATAGCTGCGAGCGGGATGATGAATGAAGGTCGGGCAGACAACGACGATGAGCTCGAGACTCGACGTACGAATGGCGGAGCTTGGGACTCGACGCCGAGGTCGCGTCTCGAGTTTGGATCTCGACAACGGAGTCGAGACTCAAGTTCGCAGTTCGACGGACGAATGACGGACGAATGGCATCGATTCTTGAGTTTGGATCTCGACAGCGGACGCAACGACGAGCTTGGTACTCGACGGCGGCCGCGACGACGAGCTCTGGACTCGACGGCGGGCGCAATGACGAGGTCGGGAATCTAGATCTCGATGACGAATGCGATCTTGACGTCATGGCTGGATCAGATCCAGTGGATCTTGACTGTGAATCGACGACGGACGAGCGGAGCCGATGGCGAGCTTGTGACGACGAAGGAGTTCGCAATGTAGCTCGACAAGCCTACTCGGGACGGAGTTCGCAGCGGAGCTCGACGAGTCGCTCGACATATGAGACGAGTCGAGCTTGAGCTCAGATTTTGAGCTCGACTCTAGTTCGAGCTCGAGCTCAGTATTTGAAAGTCGAGCTCGACTCGAACACTGCCTAGCTCGAGCTTGACTCGACTCGTTTGCACCCCTATACATGATGCACTGAATTAATGATTTACCAAACATATTTTAATCATTTCATAAAAAATACCTCAAATACCTCTAAAATCTCATTTCAATTCCCCAACCGCAAATCCCCTTAAAATCATATAGAACCCTGTTTTTAAGTAAATTACCTGAAAATGAGCATCTTAAAGATCATCGAGAGCAAATATTTTACTTGAAGAAACTACATAGAATGCTTGCTGCAATAATGCATATCAAACAAAGCCAAAAAGAGTACGCACAAAGCAAACCCACTTGAATGGAGTGATAATTCAAGATTTCAGCAAGAGAAAGCAATAAAATACAAAACAAAACCTGAATGGAATGCAATATAAATGAAATTGGATTTATTTATTATGTGGCAAAAAAAACATGAGCATAGGCAGATCATTTTTAAGCCTATTCATTACCATCTATGCACATAAGAGAATGAAGGAACAAGATCTCAATAATTTGGATGATAGATTACTCACAATAAGGATATCATCATAACAGAGCTAAGAATAAAAGCTTAACCATAAGGATGATTGCTCAAGAAATGCAACGCCTCAAGCCCTCTTGATGTTTGAGAACTCAGGAAATAATTTTTTGAAGGTAGCTTTTACATTTTTTAACCAAAATTTTCTTGATGTTCGATAAAAAAAATAGTTATATCTCAGGTCAAAACTTTATATAGTCATAAACCTCTAGCTAATATCCTTAATGCTCACAATCACTAGAGAGCACATGATTTAGGTGGTTGCATAGGCGCAATTTTGGCCTCAAAATTAGTACTTAGATTTTAATTCAATTAAATAGGAATAGAGAAATCTATCACCCTAAGTCTACAAATGGATCCATTCCACCAATGTTAGAAGGCTTCGAATCATAACATATAGGGAGCCTTATTAGCAATTATGAGTTGCCTCACCTAACAAGTAGACCAGGGTCAAAGTGTGTTGAAGAAATACTTCAAAGATTAGCATAAACTCATTAACTTGTAGAGGGTTTTTAGTATCAAGTAGACTTAAAGTTAAGTGACGTGCAATATAAATTATGAGAGATAAATGAATGAATTTGAAATAAATAGTTGTCCATCAAACTATCCAACTAGCACACGGATGCCTGACAAAACATGACAGCTCAATACAAATGTCCTTATTTTTTGAATTATCACAAGAATAATTGACTAAATTCAAAATTATCAAAGTGATGTAATACCTCTTGAAGCTTGTCAAACTTCGTAAAGTGACGACCATAAGATGAGTAGCGTGGGCCATGTAGAACAGGTGCAAGATATACTTTGAGTTTAACCTGCCAAGAAAGCAAATTCCAATAGTTCAGGGTATAAGAATCACTCCTTCCAAAAGCATCATGATTGCTTAGCAAAACATAATTTCAAAATAGTCAACTTACGGAATTCAACATTATTGAAATTCAATGATTATAATCAAAACTATAACGGACTCAAAGAAAGCATACTTCTATGTGCACATGATTAAAGGTGTTTAATACTGCATGTTTTGCAACAGAACTCAAGGCTTTAGATGCAAGAATTGTAGCATAAGATCAGTAGATACAAGTGGCTATATCTGGCAGTTTTTGTATTCATAGGCATCCATCCACGCATATCCCAAAAAAATCGTAATGCAAACTGTACAACTAAGTTAAGCATTCCAAACTTGAATCTTAAGGATCAACCAATTACAGAGGTGACTCAAGACACAAATCACTTGATCTGACATCACCTACCATATTCAGACGTGTCATTTTTGGACACAACAACAAAAACCATATTAAGATTGTTTATGCAAAAAAGATAAACATAAAGAGGAGCTTTAGTTAGAGAACCCGTTAATAAATTATTTCATTTATGAAAGATCCTTCATTTAATTTGATGACACTTTAGATTACTTATGCCACCTTCCTTTTTGTTATTTCATCAAATGTGAAATAATCTCTATAAATAGAGGATGCTTATAAAGCTTTTAAAATCCAAAAAAGTCCCCAAATAGTCTCCATACTATTCATGTGTGGTCAATTTAGTTTCATAATATAAAGGTGCTCCAATTTAATCCCTCAACTATATAAAATTGATCCAAAATGGTACCTCATGTTGTAATTGTGATATAAAATTTATCCCCAATGAAACTATTTTACATCAATTTTGTAACAAGGGACTAAATTGGAGCAACTTGATAATCTAGGACTAAATTGGTTATATATGGATAGTCGCGGGACTATTTTGAAGCTTATCCCTTCTACAATCATATGAATATTAGAGTAATTGAAAGCAAGCTTTCCAATCTCTCTCTCTCTCTCTCTCTCTCTCTCTCTCTCTCTCTCTCTCTCTCTCTCTTCTCTTTTCTTCTTTTCTCTTCTCTTTCTATCTCCCAATGGATCAAAGGATGTGCCCACTGGATGAGGTTTGCTACTAATGTTATTTGAATATGGAACTCATATGTGCAGCCTTAAGAGACTATTTCTACAATTCGAAGTTGTGACCTTCAAATCCTAGAGAAGCCAACCTAGCAAGTACTAGAATGCCGCACCCTAAAGATCTACAAATTATCATTGTTGTAGAAGACGGTCATAGTATAAATATAACACTATTACATTAGGAATTTACATGCAACTTAACAGTTCTAACATTTGATGAGTGCAATGGGAAGGAATAAGTTTGATTACACTTGGATTCCAAGCTTCTTCTAAAAGTTGAAATATTGATCTTTAGTGTTTGGGAAAGTCCCATCGCCATAATTACCATTATTTTATAGTGGTAAACTCAAATTCCCTATGAGATAATCTAACATTAATGGCTAGTGACAGAAGTATTAAAATTGTAAGTAAAAGAACATGGAGGGACTACTCGAAACTTGAAGACCCAAAATGTAACTACTGGCAAAAGTTGGCCACTTAATTGCAATTTAACCGATAAGATAAGGCTAAAATAGACTGGCTACAAAAAAAGATAATAAATACAATAGTATAAGAAAGTAGACTGAACCTTGAATATATAATCATATAAAAAGGGAGAGCGCAATTAGACATATCGTGATAATATAAGGTAAAAATTAAAATACAGATATCCAAAAAAATAGCCATTAAAAAGGCAGATCAATAAAAAATATGCACATAACAAAAAAAAAAGAAATAATACTGTTCTAAAATTTTCAGTAGCAATCAAAAGAAGCAGAAAATGCATACATTCCACTTAATTAGCCGCTTGAGAATTTCAGGCTCACACACAGCTTTGGCATCCTCCACATTTCCACCCCCTTCTAACTTCTCCAAAGCGTTACGAACAGCCTATATAAAACCAGAAAATGATTAGTTAAAACTAATAAAAGCAAATTAAAAAATAGAGACCACTTTATCTTCATTGCTTCAGAATACAAGCCTCAATTGCACCCTCAATTTTTCCGAGTGTGATACTCTTATCAATTTGTCCTACAGCAGATGAATAAGTGGAAGGTTTTGAAAGCATTTTCCTGATGTCGTCTTGCGTTAATGAAGATGCTTCTTCTTCAACCAAAGTAAGAATCCTGCATTTCAGCAAATCAAAATTGCAGAATCAGAACCACTTATCATGTATTCACGCAAAAGCATTTTGGTATTTTGTGATTACCAAAAGCATTAATCAACTTAACTTTCAGGTTTTATGGTAAGATTAATCAAAAGGACATATGAAAAATTCCAAGACAAAATAATTCAACATTGGTACGTTCTCTCAAAGATCTCTCAATTAAATTCATAATAGCATAATAGATAATGTAGTAGTCCTTGTTAAGAATATATATATATATAGCAATTAAATTCATAAAGCAAGTTTTGAGTGATTAGGGTGTATGAATCTACTTTGTTACACTAGAGGATGTTATCACTCCACATAATGTTGCTTTGTTGAGCGACCCCATAACTAGATAGTTCTTTCTGATTAGGAGTGTAAATGAGTGGGATCAAGCTCAAGTCATAGCAAAATCAAACTCAAGCTCAACTTGTCGCTCAAAAAAGCAGCTTCAACTTGAGCTCGACCTCGAGTCAAGACCATGCAATTAGCTCGAGTTTGGCTCTTTCATTCTTTCTCAAGCTCAAGAGCTCAACACAAGATGAAGTCACGGCGGTAACTGTGCTTCTCCAAAGAAAATCATGGTGGAAGTTGGGATATCGCTGGGAAGGAAAGACCCGTGCATTACCAGCCAGAATCGACGCTCTCAAGAAGAAGAGGTGAAATAATACTAATACTAATTAATTCAAAAATGACGGGTGGTTGAATAGCTGCATTTATATTTGCTTTGGGAAATGATACAACTATTGTTTTTTTTTTTTTGGAAAATGGTAAAGCTACATAGAATTATTAATTTTGTTGTCGTATTAAAAACAATAATCTATTTAATTGTAAGATTTAAATATTTATTTTATTCAAGCCGGCTAGCCAGTCAATGAGCCAAGTTCAAAAAAGCTTTAACTCAAGCTCAGTTTATATACGAGCTTGAGTTTAAGTTCGACTCGCAAGCTCGTTAGAGATTGAGTTCAAGCCAACTCAGATCATTTACACCATATTTCTGTTAAACTATATGTACTATATAGTGACACTCATTTATTGGGCCTGAATATGAAAACCCAAAATGTCGTCATTCTTCAATGAACCCACCACCCTGTCTTTCATGACTAACAAAACCACCAATCTACTTTGGCTTAATCCTTTTTTAAGAAGAATTAATTGTCTTTTAGGAACATGCATTTCCATCAAATTCGATTCAGCATCTACTGCAATTACTAGGCAAGAATATTCTTTTCTTACAATTTCAAATTCGATTGAGCATCTATCGCAATTACATATGCTCATTGGTTCTACTTTTTCCTCCTATTAGCAGGGGTAGATTTAGCATGGGGGCATAGGCCCCCACTGACTGTTCCACAAATGCCTAATTAAAACTTATTGATGACTCTTTAATTACTGCCTAATGCAAATTAATACCTAAGTTTTTTCTAGTTTCTTCAAACAGGTGGCTATTCTTTCATGTGGGCGGCTATTCTTTCTAGAGCATGGATGGACAGAATGCAGAAGTTGGAATGCCCTTCTGGCTTCTTTTTTCTCGTTCGAACTGTTGAATGCCCACAGTGAGTGCTTCACGCTGGAGGCAGCAAACAGATCTAAAGAAAAAGTTATTTCTATACTGCATTGTTGTTGTAATATCTGATGCAAAATCTGAAAAAAATATTGTTGAATTCTTATTTCAATATCCATATTATTTTGTTTCAGAACTCATATTTTTTTACAAAATCAATATTATTCCGTTTTGACCTTTTTTCCAAGGTTTTGTGCGTCTTCTGATTGTTGATTTTGGCCAAATATATTACTTGTTTTCCTATTTTTATGATGTCATCCAACTCCAATGCCTTGTGTTTTATCTCTATAAAATTTCATCAACTTTAACTTCTAGTTACTTTTCTTTGATAAAATAATTCAAGTAGTCAATTTTATCAATTGCGTTAAGCTACGTTGTCATAATGTCTCATTGGAACAATGCATCTAAATTACGAGTATTAAACATTTAAACCTGATCAAACAGCTCTTGCCAATACCTAACTGTGTTCGTCTGCCCATGTCAGATTTCAACTTGCAGCCTAATCGATTTTAAATCAAGTTATTCTTTATTGATAAATTATTACATTGTCATTGTCTAAGTCGTCTAAATTTATTAGAAGATTGCAAAGTCGTAAAGTTTATTTTGACATTTTACTATGCCTTTCGATGTTATAAACTATTTCACATTGTTTTAAATCAAATTAGAATTGGAGAAGTATTTCAATAAAAAAGTTGAAAGAGATGATCAGAAAATTTTTGTGGGGAAAACAATACACAAATTAAACAAAATATTCTAGAAATAAATTTTGATGATATCCCAGCTGATCCATGATTGAGAATTTTTTTTTTTAAAACAATCAATGTTGGTCCCAAGTCCGAATGAAAAAGATTGAGGGTTTTATTTATATTCAATTAATTGTTCCACCACATGAAAAAAGCCTAGATCCGCCCCTGCCTATTAGAATTGGTTACTTCTTGGCAATTCTTCACTTCACACTCATGTCTACTAGTTTTCTCATACAGTTTTCATTAGTTCTTGATATTGGCAGCATTAGCTTCACTCACAAGCTGCTTCTCAAGAAAACTTCTTGATTTCTCACCTTCATGTTCTCTCTCATTACAAACTGCCGGTACCTCTGTCGCAAGTTGGTTATTCAATCTCACAAGTATTCTTAATTATTAAGTATTCTTTAATCATGTCATTACGTATATCATCATTTCTTTCTTTCAATTTTCTAAAAATTAGTGTTATTGAGCATATCTTTATAGTTGTCAAAAAGTATTATCTAATGTAATTTAAATTTGACTAATTAAATGAATAGTATAGCACATAATATATGCATATGAGCTTAGCACTTCGAAAATACTAGCATGAAAATAAATAAATAAAGTAAAATTTCGAAAAAAAAAAAATCAAACAAGCCCTAATTAACTAGTAGGTAATGCTGAACAGTCTGACTGCCATGCTCTACTAGTATATACTATATCATGTCATAGTAGCTTTAAAGAAACCACCAAGAAAAATCATTGAAATCTTCAAAATGTTAGTTCGTTCTGTATCATTATTTCCCATTCTTTATGTTTCCCTTCAACAATAGTCTCCATCACCCCACCCCCCCACCCCCCCACCCCAAAGTCAATGTCTAGCACCGGAAAGAAGTTACTTAAACACAAAGAGCCGGGCATTAACTCCCACTTAACCTAATGCAGTCTAGAAGAGCTAAGTGCATTAAAAAATAAAAAAAAAAATTAAAAAAAAAAGTGAATAAAAAATAGGTGTCAAACTAAGAATTCCAACTTCAACGGAAAGGAACCAAGTACGCAAGTTCATGATTTTGCAGACTAAAGGCAATTCAGATCACTGTTTATCTCAAGCTTGATTAAATCATTAATTTCAAAAAATAAATCAATAGATAAATGTAACATTAAAAACCTGCATGCAATTCAACAATGATCGAGTCAAAAGGCAAAATAACATGAGAAAACAAAATGAACAAATAGTTGTGGGTTTTGAATTGCAGTTACAAAGTTGTGATACAATACAAGAAAGCAAAAGCTAGAGAGGCAGTGTCTAAAAAGAAATATTGAAATAGGATTTAAGGTAGAAATTCGTATAGCATAAACAAAGAAAACCTTACTCTTTTCTTATTTCAGGCAATATCTTTGGAGCTGTGTTGAAAAGTTTCCCAGGCACAGCCACTGCAGACTTTGGAACTTTTGCCTTACCAATTAAAGCCCTTTCACTATCAAGAATTGGTTTAAAATCCTTTGTTGAGCCAAATTCCACAAATTCCTTTGATTCAGCCTTCTTCACAGCAAGTTTTGCATCTTTCTTAGGCATTTTCCACTTAGACTGGGAGTCCAAAACTTTTTGGGTAAATGTTTTGCCTCCAGTTAACATAGCATCATCTGAATCAGTCGCAGGAACCTTCTCAAACCTTTTTGCAGGTTTTGAAAGCTTTAGATCCCCCATTCTGCCAGAACCAAGCATAAACTTCTTTGGTCTAGATTTCTGGACATCCGTTTCCCTCTTCTTCTCATGAATTTCTGGAAATATAATGTGATCTCTATAGGGAGTTCCAAGCTCATCATCAATCTCATGTTTCCTGTTCAGCAAAAAAAGACATTGTAATTGTAACAAGTTTTTGGAATCTCCTTCGTATGTAGGAGTACATGACGACATGCACAAACATATCAAAAAAGATGAATACAGACATACAAGCAGTATATGAGGATGCGGTTGGGAAGAAGCCCCTCCCATGCCCTTTGGATAATGTCTTCATCTTCATCATCTTCAAAGGCAATTTTCCTACATAATTCGTGTTGGAAGTGAAATTTTACAGGCAACATCTATTTCATACAGCACTGTTCAAAGACTTTTCCACGTACCTTGGCAAACATTTTCTATGGTATGACTTAGGACACCTTCTGCACATTGCAAACTGTAACTCCTCAACCTCCTTATTTTCAACCTGCTTGCAAACAATACATCTATGAACTGAGCAAGTAAACGACTCCCCAGCTGCTATCCTTTTCCCCAACTCAGTTGCTTCAATTTTATTTTCTGGAAACAGCAGGTCAGCAACACATTTGGGATGGTAGAAACGACCGCATGTGGCGGAAACACAACAAAATACCTGAAAAAGAGCAAACCAAAAAAAAAATCTGAACAACACAAAATAAAAAGAGGATTTTCTTTCAAAATGGCATATAATGTATTTGCAATTAAAGACAATATGATTCTGATACCAATAGATTCCCACATCAGTCATGAAACTGCCCCAGCATGCATATGGATCTTAAATACCAAGTTTGTTTCTTCATGTATTTTATATAAACATAAGGTGATATCACGAAGGAAATTTGAAATATTATACTAATCAAAATTCTGAGTTTTGATTTTTATTTCAGTTGTTTTCACTGGCGGACGCAGTGTGGGGGCCCTCGGGGCACGGCCCCCCACTGACTTTGGTATTATTTATGATATTTTAAATAATAGGATAAATCAAATAATTTTTTACCTTTTTCATCCCAATTGCAATCCTTCCCGACCGAACCGAGCCATCCTACCGTAATTCACAAAATATATTTATTTAAATAAAATTGGGCCGGGCAACCACACTTCCCCTCCACGAACAGGAATACTCGCCCAACTTGCATATGCAATTATTTATATATAAGAAAATTTATTATCTTTATGCGATGTGGGACTAAATCCCACATTTTTTTCTTTTTCGTTTTCCTGTGGCCACGGAGGAGGCAACGGGAGAATAAAACCTCAAAAACGAGGAGAGAGAGAGAGAGAAGCGGGCATGAGGGAGTTAAAAAAAATAAAAAATAGTTATTAGACATATTATCTAAATATATTATTTAAATAATGTTATTTAGGGTATTTCTTAATGTTATTAAACACATTATTTAAAAAACTGTTATTAAAAAATTATATATATATATAAATCATTTAGTTTGCATAGTAGCTTGGACAAAAATTTGGTGACCTTTTACATTATTGGATTGCCATTGGTTATTCTCTTTGGATTTAAATTGGGATTGTATGATAAGATAAATAAACTTATTTCAAGGTTTAGATGTTTACATTTTTTTTAATATAAAAATCATTTAGTTTGCATGCATATCCTACATTGATATGCTTCTTTAGTTTTTTATTTCTGTTGAACTAATTTATAATGACTAAGTTTTGCAAATTATGATCAAATTGTTAGTATTATTTTCATTCAATTTAGTATGGATATATAATTCAAAAGAAAAGTTGAAGTAGATGATTGGAAAATGTTATGTGAGGAAAACAATACACAAATCAAACAAAGCCGTGCAGAAACAAATTTTGCTAATGCCGGTCTCAATCCCAGGTGAAAAATATTGAGGATTTTTTTAATTACTTTAATGATTTGAGCCCCTACGTAAAAAAAAATCCTGGCTCCACCCCTGGTTGTTTTGTATCACAGTTTTTTTAAAGTTTATTTTGATGTAATGTGCCTATAATGATGATCCTCTTAAGAACAAGTTGAGTTTTCTAAAACCTAAGTTAGCATCGTATGATTCCCTATGTTGGTTTGGGTAACCACTGTTGGTTCTTGTTGCTGTCACTGACTTGGAGAATTGGTAATGAAGCTAAGAGTCGGTGCCAGGTTACTTTTTGGTGCTTCCTTCTGCTTCCATTGATTGCTGCACCGTAACATGGGATATAAAATATTTTGCCCAAACACTGATTTTAGTTTACTGTTCAATAACTCACTGATTAGGAGTTTTCACTATTTGCTTCATGTAGGTTTTTGACTGTTGCCTTATTTAGAGATTTTACTATAGATGGGATTCAAGAATCCATGGTTTATGATTTTCGTATTGAAGCAGGATCTAAATATTGATTGTTTGTGCTTGTTTTAGGATATATTTAGAGATTTTATAAGAATAAAAAATTTAGGTCTTTCTATTATATAATATAAACATATCCCAAGGAGCATGAAAAACTTAGTCATCATATAATGAAATTCAAATTTTTCTCTCAATCTTGTGTTGATAGATTTGAATTATTCAAATGTAATGCAATTGTTGACAACAACTCATTGGGAAAGCTGGGTAAGGCCCGGATCTTTTTTGATAAATAATTTTCTTGTTCTATTTAATCTATATTGTGATTGACTTTGCATGTGCAATTGGGATTTGGTCAAATGTACTATACTTTAATTTTTTTCTTCTTGAGGTTGGAATCCTACTCGTTGTGTGATTTTTGTTCAATCTCAAATTTCTTGCATAATTCAGTTTAGACAATCTATAAATTATTGTTTGGAGCGGTTTTCAGAGTTTTTTCATTTACTTAAAAAGGGGTTGTTTATGATTTGAGATTGTAAATAAGAGTTCATAATCTTAATAAAGGCTGGCCTATTTAAATCACATTCCTCCTTTTGCTAATTTTTAGTTTTTTTGGCTGAGTTTATTTCAGATTGTGTAATGGTTTAGGGAAGAAATCCTGTTTTTGGGAAGGGTGTAGAATGGGAAGCATTTGTGACGGAATCCAAGACTCCGCCATCATTAATACCAAGCTCTAGAAACCATCTTCCTGGGCTTTCCATGGCAGATACAGCTGATTGCAATGCTGGAATTCCGCTGCAGCAGCTGTTTGGTCCATCACTGCAAGTTATTGATGAAAACAGAGAAAGGCATGGATGTTTTGGGATGATTTCTCCTGTCTTTGGCAGGAAAACAGAAGAAGAGCAGAGATCAAACAAAAAGGTGACTTCTGGAAGCCAATTTTTGTGCATTCTTGATTCACTTTGTTAGCAAGCGTGCAGCATTGGAAGCAGGGTAAGGTCTGCAGCAAGGAGTGAGGAGCGGCAGAAGCCACTGGTAAGAGGTTTGCTCTAGATAAAGAATTAAAAAGAATTCCGTCCCGCTTCTGACTACAAACTAGGCGGTTGAAATACCAGCCAATATTTGGCTTTAACAGTAGCTTGCCTCAGCGTTGTGCACCAGGACAAGGGCAGGAGGTGTATTGGCTCACCAAACATGAAAATTCAACACCTAGAGGGTTTGCATTGCGATTTTCTTTGGCTGGAATCTCTGGGACAGCAAAGATCAAGAAAGGACAAGCAGCTCCAAACCAAGAACAAGGTCTTATATCAAACTTTCATTACCTGGTGCAGAAATTTTATTTTAGTTGTGAGATGTCCAAATAAAAGTAAGGTTCTTGAGATTGTTCGATCTTGTAATCAATTTTCTTGCAATTTATTTTAAAATTCCTCTTGTGATCAAATAGTTCCATAGGGTTCTTGAATATTTCTAGTCTTGTAAAGCTTCTAGGATCTTAATCACCTTATCTCTCGCCATCAAGTGGTATCAAAGCCCTAGGTTAGGATGCCTCCTAGGAGGAATCATCAATGTTCAAGCTCAAGAAGTCACAATGTGAATGGCAGGCATTCGGACAATTTGGATGACAATAAAAAAGAATCCAAAATAAGAAATCATGAATCAGGTATTCCAATAATCATCTAAAGAAGACGGATTCTAACATTTCCAAGAAGAAAACCAAAAAGGTGGTATCAAGACTATGGAATGAAGATGGATATTCTAGATTTTGATGGTGCATTGAATCAAAACAATTTTATTGATTGGTTGCATATTGAAAAACTTGCCTTTGATTATAAAGAAATACAACCCGAAAAACAATTCATGTGAGTGGCCATTAAATTGAGAAAGAGTGATTTCATTTTTTGGCGACAACTAAAGATTAAAAGGGTTCGAGAGGCAAAATTGTTACATGGGATAAAATGGAGTGAAAAAAAGATAAGTTTCATCATACTCCACAATTTTCAACAAAGGTAATTATTTGTAAAAGAGTATGTTGTTTAATTTAGAAATTCAATTAAAATGAGATGTAACTGAGCGTAACACCATAGCACGATTCATTAGCAATTTGCATCCCGCTTAATGTTATGCAATTGCAACAATACTAAATATTTGTTTATGTTATCAAATTGTCCTCAAGGGTTGAGAGACAACCCATCCATCAAAATTTTCCTTCAAGACCAGGACAAGAATTTCATAAAAATAGAAATGAAACTCGTGAAGGAACATAAGTTCCACCTAAAAATATTTCTTTCAATTAAACCTATGTTGAGGGTAGTGATGTAGCAAAAACAACCATTAAAAGAATCAATTCATAAAATGATTTCGATACTCAATAATCCATCACATTGCTTCCAATTGTCCCAATTCTTAGATGGTATTATTTCTTGAAGAAGCAACAATGGAAGATTAAAACAAAAAGCATCAAAAGATGAGGTCAAGCACTTATTGCAAGTTGATGAAGGGGAATTACTTGTATTCGATGAGTTCTGAGCTTCTCCATTAACAAAGAAACTGAGAGACTTCATCATAACATATTTCATACAAGCTGCACTATTTAAAAAAAAGTTGGCAATGATATTATAGATGGAGGGAGTTGTGAGAATGGTTTAATGAAATGGTAAGAAAATTAAATATTCCACGATAAGACCATCCAAACCTTACAAGCTCTCATGGGTGTAAAGGGAAATGAAATTAGGGTTGTAATGTTTAGTACAATTTTTCATTGACCAAAATAAGAAAAATTACAACATCAAGTGGAAGAGCACCATATTAAAGGCTTGATTCAAGAGAATGCTAGTCCTTATGCGATATTCGCTCTACTTATTCTAGGAAAAGATGACACGTGGTTGATGTATGTCGATAGTCAAGTGATAAACAAGATTACAACCAAACCTTGATTCTTGATACCTCAATTAGATGATCTCTTTGATCAGCTACACAAAGCATCTCTTTTTCCCAAAATGGACTTGAGTGGGTACCACCAGATGCAAATGATGTCGATAGATGAATTATAAACGACATTCAAGATATGGCATGGATTGTGCAAATGGATAGTGATGTCATTTGACCTATCCAACACACGAAGAACCTTCACGCGTCTAACGAAGAACCTTCACGCGTCAAATTTATCAGTAATTGCATTTTATAATTGTACCTTGGAAGAACATCTACACCAACTCCCTATGTATCACATCAAGAAAAATAATATGCAAATCCAAACAAATGTCGAATTTTGGCTAATAAAATTAATTTTTTTTTGGATATGTAATCTCTAGTATGGAGATTGAAATGGATGATGAGCATATTAAGGCCATTACAGATTGGCATATTCCTTTAGTCTTCTAGTAAAATTCAAACTTTCACAGCTTTATGTTTTTCTATTGAAGATTTTTAAGAACTTAATTTTGGCGCAAGCTACTTTAACCCAATTTCTTAAAGGAGATAAATACATTTGGACACCAACAACCTAATATAGTTTTGTTGAGCTTATGCAAACACTCACTAAAATTCTAATGTTAGATCTACCTAATTTTTATAGCATCTTGGAAATTGATTGTGATGCATCCAATGTGGGCATTGGTGTTGTTTTGAATCAGAGTAGGCAGCGTGTTGCTTATTTTAGTGGGAATTATATGAAGTGTGTACAAATACTTCACGTATGATAAAGAATTATATAATATCTTCCATACCTTAAGCATTGAAATCAATACCTTTAATTTGATGAGTTTATTGTATTTCGATCACGAAACTCTAAAGTACCACTGTCTTTAGTCAAAATAAACTCAAAGGCAGGCACGCTAAGTGAGTAAAATTTCTTTCATCATTTTATTATATATTAATTCATAGATCTAGTGTTCAAAAAAAAGATGTGGATGTCCATAGTCACCAACATTACCCTTTTCATACTCTTCAGTCAAAGCTTATTAATATTGAGACAATAACAGACCTTTATCATGATGACTAAAACTTTCGAAAGAAATGATAAATATGTCAAAAAAGAGATTGTCATTTTTTTTAATTTAAGATGGGGATTTTTTTTCAATCAGATCAAATATTCCATGATATTTGCTATGAAGTATTATTTTATTTGAATGCCATAAAAGTGAGCAGACAAAAAATTTTGGATGTGGTATGACTATCACATTGGTTCAAGAGAGTTTTTGCTGGCCACCCATTCAATTAGATAATGACCAAATTATTAGGGGATGTCAAGTATGACATATAGATAAGAAATTAAAAGATCAAATTACACATCCCTCTATTAATACACAAGATACCCTGGACAAATATGAGTATGAATTTCAAGATTGGACTTCCAAATACTGAGAGACGGAAAGATTCGATCATGGTAAATAAAAATCTTTTTTTTTTTTAAATGACACATTTTGTCCATTACACAAAACACACAATGCTTCCTATATTGATGATTTCTAGTTTTAAGCAAATATACACTTATATGGTATTCTAAGAACAATTACATCTAATCGCAATGTTCAATTAATAGGTCATTTTTGGAGAACCTTATGGCTTAAAGTTGAATGTCAAACTTCAATTAAGTTCTAAAAGCTAAACCGATCCCATCAATCATAGTCTAAGAAATTTATTATGGATCTTTTCAAAAAGAACAATAAACAATGGAATCATACTTTAGCTCAAGCCTAACTTGCTTATAATCGATATATTAGTCAAACCACATACAAAAGTCTTTTTGTCCCAACACCACTAAAATTAACCTAATGATCGGTATTTTTGAGTCATATTGATGATAGTAAATAAGTCAACAAATTTAAGAAACAACATCAACAAGTTCAAAATATTAATTAAAAAACTCTATCATAAATAAGCTAAGAAATCCCACAATTAAGTTTTATTTAAAGAAGGTGACCGGATAAGAATAAATCTATGAAACAAAAAAAAAAATCTTTCAAGATTGTTTGCAAATGTAAGACCAAAGGCCATTTATAAGTCATCAAGCATATTGGTAAAAATGCATATCAATTTGATTTATTGAGGGAGACAAGCATCTACACTAGTTTAACAATCCAGATCTATCACATTATTACAAACAAGAAAAATCTTACAATATCGAGGACAAGTCTCCTCCGACCCAAGGAGCATGAAATAGCTAGTTGGGGTAAGGTCCTTTTTATAATTAACTTTCTTTTAATTAGGACCTCTTTCCTTTTTTTGGAGAATAGATTTAGAAATAAGAGTTCATAATCTTAACAAAGCTGACCTATTTAAACCCCATTCCTCTTTGGTAGTTTTCAATTTTTTGGTTAAAGGTTCTTTCATGTTTCGTCCTAATTTGGGGAGGATTCTCTGTTTTTGGAAAGGTGGAGAGAGGAAGATTTTTATAGTATAGTGCGGGACTCGGCAACCATCACCAAGCTTCGGAAACCATGGACAAATCCAGTGATGGAATTCATCTACAGACGCTGCTTGGTCCATTCCAGCAACTTATTGATAAAATCAGAGGAAAGGAAAGGCTATGTTGGGGCAATTTCTCCTGTGATTTGGCAAGGAAACAGAAAAAGGATGGTGAACAGACATCAAAGGTAACTCCAGGAAACCGTTTTTCTTGCAATCTTGATTTACTTTCTTGTTTGTTCTTGCAGGTCATATGGTGTTCGAAGCAGGGAAAGATCTGTTGCAAGGATTGAAAGGGGTAAAATCTGTTTTAAAATCCTTTTGTGATCAAATAGTTTCATCGGGTTCTTGAATGTATCTAGTCCTGTAAAGCTTTTAGTAAATTGATTACTTTATCTCTCATTGTCAATTAAGCTTACTATACAGAGAAACATAACACATTCAACATCAATGATGGTTGCAAAACTCTGTACCAAAGCACCTACCAAAATTCCCCTTCATAAATCTGTCCTAGAAACATAATACATTCAACATCAATGATTTGCTAATATTGATAGTTGATATGCCTATAATATAGTTAGGTTTAAAAGAAAATACCATGCTTTTTATTCTCTCTTGTTCAAAGATAAGCTTTCAAGAGTCAGAGACAACATACGTGATAGTTGCCCTCATTAAAGCTATCCGTAATAAATAAGCATGAATGATGGTACATCCAAAGGACAAACACAAAAGAGGATAAAACTTCATATGCTTTTGCTCATATTCCAAAATAGCATATATTCATTCCAGTGTGCCCCCACATGCAAGCCGCACCAACAACAGCACCACACCCAACAGCGCACTAATGAACACACACACACAAGCAGGAACAAAAATAAAGCTCAAATGGCATGAAGTCATTCAGCAACCTATTAAGTTAGCAAAATAAGAATGAAAGCTTTCTAATCACTTCAAAAATTCTAATCAACAAAATAAGTAACAAATTAAAAAAATAATTATAAATAATAAAACAGCTTTCCAGTAAAGACCAACCTCGGCATTTGCAGATTTATCAGAGGAACCGAGCTTCCCGCAGGCAAAACACTGATGTTGCTTTAACTTGCAGTTCTTGCACAAAAAATTTTGCATAGCCTGTACAAAAGACTTTCTTTACAACTTGCAAAACAAATTATAAAAAGATATACTAATGCGGAACCATCAAGATAACTTTATAAACATATATATTTAAAAGTACCCAAATCTTTAAAATGTTACAAAACTACTTGAACAGTAGTCATGATGTTTGTTAACTATGGTATGTTTAAAATACCAATCACAATTTTCTTTTGTGAACACATACCCAAAATTTTCTATTCGAAAGGGCCATAGTTAGTAATGGAGCATCATACAAACATCAACAATAGCACGGGAATCTAAAAGAATGAAGGGGAATAAGAAACAAAGAAGACTAAATACAGACAATAATCAATTTGAGAGTATTATTATTCATTCCTACATCACCCTCAGTATACATTGTTCATCCTCATTTTGTATAATGGTACAACGCCTTTTGCTATTACATAATATACTCGAGATACCCTTACTCAATTGGGTATAGCAGAGTTTGTATTGTTGAGCATATTGGATTGATTTGGTAGTTCGAAGGGGATAGTGATGATTTTGGCAGAAGGTGAATGACTACTTTTAAGTCATGGCAATGGTATTATCACCTCCCCTTAAGTGAACAATTCCCTCTTGAATTGTGTTTTCTTGAATCTTAATAGAATCAGATAACGGCACATAAGAAGACCATTCTTTAGTAGGTTAGAACATTGACTTAAGATGAAATGTGATGCATAGCAATCACTTAATTAAGAACAAGTTCCGTTATAAAATGAGGATCGGTTCTAATATGTTCTGTGAAAGCATAAAGTATTGGGTTATTTATAAGTACCATAGCCAAAATATTGTCACAAAATGTAAGGAGGTAGACTCATCAAAAGGAGTGCACAAATCCTCTAAACGTCCAAGCCAATGATATCAATGGGAGTTATAAGAGCTTGATAATAAATTTTAGAGGAAGATATTGCAACAATGAACTATTTTTTCAAAATACAAGAACTGAGTTTTTTCTGAGATATGCACAATAACTCATTATAGATTTTCGATCAAGACGGTCACCAGCCCAGTTCCATCAGTGTAAGTATGAAGTTTAAGATCACCCTTCGCAAATAGAAGGCCATATTGTATTGTGCCTTTCACATAGCAAAGAATTCCAAGACCCCATCTAGTGGCTGATGCCTTCTTTAGCAGACACAATTCATAGCAAATGTTATATCCAAACTAGTGATGGCCAGATATCGCAGTGATTTAACTCATTGCCAATAGAATTTAGGATTAGAGAATGGCTGCTACTATGTGGTGTCTATGGAGGAAGAAGAAGCAAGTGGTGTAGCAGCTGGTTTGCAATTTCACATCCTAGTCTTTTCCAACAGTTACATTCATGTGCATAGTTTGCCGGAAGTGAGGTCCAGTGGGCTGTCTAGTTATCTGTATGCCAAGAAGTATGAGTGGTCCCAATGACCGCATATAGAAGTATAGAACCATTCACTATGGTTGTGAAGAAGATTAGAAATGGCAGCAAAGTACTGACTTGAAAGAAGAATGTCATCAACGTAGATGAGGATATACACTTGGGTATCTTGATAATGATAGATCAATAGGAAGGATTAGCATCACTCAACTCAAATTCTTGTTGCAATAAGTGAGAAGAGAGTGTAGCAAATCATTGTTGATTAGCTTACTGGAGATCATAAATAGCCTTTTTAAGAATGCAAACATAATAGAGAAATTGTGGTCCTGAAAAATCTTGGGGCAGCGGCATGCACATGATTAAGATGACCCAAAATTAAGGCACTGAATACATCCAACTACAGAACTTCCCGGTTTTGTTGATTAGCAATGCTATAAAGTATTCAAATTGTTGGCACTTTTGCACGAGGGCTAAAAGTTTCATTAAAGTTCACACCATGTTCCTGCTTAGATCCTTGAGCCACTAAGCAAACTTCGCATCTAGCAGCAGTTCCATCAAAATGAAGTTTTATTTTGAACAGCCATTTACTACCAAGGATGATCAAACTAGATGGGGAAGGAACAAAGGTCCAACTGTCTTGTGATTGAAGAGAATAAAATTCTTGTGACATGAATTGTCGCCAATGAGAAATTTTACTGGCAGCAATATAACAAGCAGGGTTCATCAGGGTGTCAATAACATGCAACAAATCAAGAGGCTATTTAGGTTTGAGTGATCCTACCTTTGAACGAGTAACCGTGAGATGAATGGAAGGATTAGCTATTGGATGTAATGAAGACAGAGACAGGGGTATACATAATGCAAATGACTAATGTAAGAAGAAGAGTTTAATGAAGTCTGTGGTGAGCGAGGAGTTGAACGTGGAAGACAAGGTTTTGATGTGGGGATTGCAATAGTGGCCTATGAAGATGAAATGTTGAAGAAGGAACTAGTAGATGAGGACTAGATGCAGAAGGCATATTTTTCAGAAGTGAAGGGGTTGGAGGATGTATAGACTTCTGTTGTCATCAAAAAACATATGACGTGAAGCATAAATTTTGTCTATGATAGGATCAAGGGATTTATAGCCTTTAAAATGCGGGTGTATATCCTAGAAAAAAAAAACAATTAACTGACTAAGTTATGAGAGGAGTGGTATTGAAGCCATGGGTGGCACTTGTAGTTGTTGGATTTAAGGTGTGGGTATTTAGTTGGTTTGTAAAAGAATAATAGATAGGAACAGACCAATTTGTGGTTTTTGTATAGTAATCTATCGACAATATGAACAACTATGAGGAAGGCATCAACCCATAGGGTATGAGGTAAACTTCTTCAAAGAGAAATAATTTTATAGTTTCGATAAGATTGTTGTGTTTATGTCAACAACTCTATTATATTCAGGAATATCGGAGCAACTTAAATGATGAGTGATACTCCAAATGGATAAAAGACTTTGTAAAAACTTACATGTGGTCATTGTTTTAGAATAGTTTAAAATTATTGTTTGCATCAAATAAATCTAACAAAAGTGAGAATGATCATCAATGAAAACTACATAATAACGAAAGCCTTGAGTATATGAGATTGGACAAAGTCCCCAAACATTAGAGTGAATAAGTTCAAGAGGCCATATGTATTGCTAGAAGATAAATTAAAAATAGGTTTGTAAGACTGTGCTAAACGAAATGAATTACATGTATTTGTACTATTGGAATAAGAAGAGAGGGAAATGACCATGATACCGTAGACAAAGTGGCATCATTAGGATGACAACGATGAAGGATTTCAGCTTTGGAGTTGGCACACAGCAAAACAGTAGAATGTAGTTGAGAAGATGAAGAGCTAGAGGAATTAATAGGATACAGTCCATCATGAAAAGATCCTTTAAGTATGAATTGATTGGTCTTAAGTCAGTGATTTGAAAACCGAATTTGTCAAAAAAAAAAAATGTCTGTCACAATTTTATGAACTGATAGCACATTATAGGTTATTTGAGAAACTTGAAGGAGATTTGGTAGAAGCAACTTACTATTGTGGATGGGAAGAATAATGTCACCAATATGTGTAATTGTAGTGGATTGCCCATTACCAACAAACATTTGATCACTAAACGAATATGGTGCGGAAGAGCTCATATAATGAGAGTTGGCAATAAGGTGCATTATAGCACCTGAGTACACATACTAATCAGCATTTGGCTATGGCCAGGCGACAAAAAGAGTCCACATGCAACTAGAGGAATTTGGTTTCAGATGATTAGACTCATTAAGAAGAAATTCCTTCGGACATGATATGAAAGTATGAAACCAATGAGGTAGCCTTTAAATTCAATAGCACATAAGAATTTTAGAATTTGAACCCACCAAATGTGATAGTTGTAGACAGTTAATTGAATGGGGGTAATGTTATTGATATTGGGCATCAAGAACTTGAGTTGGAGAGGAATACTAATCTCCTCCATTGCAACCTCAGTATTTTCTAAAGGATTCAACAAAGAGATTACAGAATGATCCATAAGACAACGGAAGCTGAAATGTTGGAGACAACTAAATCAAAGGAGAGAAGACAAGGACATGCCAAAAGGCTATTGATCTGATACCATGTTGGAAAAATTGATGATGAAGAAGAAGAAATTGAGAAGACTAAAGACAAATTAATTAATTTGAGACTAATTTCATTAATAGTTGTATCACCATCTGTATACACTATTCATCCTCATTTTGTAAATTGGTAAAACACTTTTTGCGATTGAATAAAATACCTGATATAGCCTCATTCAGTTGCATATAACAGAACTTGTTTTGCTTGGACATATGAGATTGATTGGTGGTTTAAAGGGAATGACAATGATTTTGTCGAAAGTTGAACGGCTGCTTGAAGTCATGGTATTGGCATTGTTATCAAGGGTGGCTAAAAAGAGTGATAACTTATGAAAATCAAATTTTTTGAGAGGCAAGATAATTGCAATAAGAATAAGCAAAAGTACCAGATCCATGAAGAGAAAAATGAGTTGATCTTAACCTGTTTCTTCAAATCATCTTCTTGAAGTAAGGTGATGGCATATTCCCATTGTCATGAATCAAATCCCATTAAAAAGTACCCGCCTATCTACCCTCTACAGCCACTTACACTATTCCCATTGTCATGAATCAAATCCCATGGTAAAGAAGAAGTGATGAAATCAAAAAAACACAATTAAGATTGCAAGCAGTTTGGTTCAGAGCTTTAGGTTGTGAGTCTTCCTTTCTTTTTAAAAAATTAAAAAAAAAGGATAGTCAAATCAATCAACATGCCGAAGTTCCAATTCAAGAGGAAGCTCTCCCATCAAATATAATGCATTTGGAATATCAAGGAAGCTCTTTCATTCAACCTAAGTTTACAACGTCGTCATCCTTATTTTCCATCCAAGGCATTCTCATCAGGAGATGAGATCTCTCAACCGGAGGAGAATTGATGTAAGCAAACCGTACCCCACCCTCTCCTCCTTTTGTGTTTGGGCTGATTTGGGTTTGACTGGGGGCGGTTGGCTGTTGTCTGCTTGGTGGTTGTTCAGTTTCTGTGGCTTTCCCGGTTCCCCTGGCCTTGGTTGTTCGGTTTCTGTGGTTGTTTCCTTGATTTCCTGGATCCCTGGGCTTTGGTTGTTCGGGTCCTGTTGGTGTCCCTGGGTTGTGGCTGTTCGGGTGGGCTTCCGTCATGCCTTAATGCTGCATTTTTCTTCCCCTTTTGGGCGGCTGTAGGGGGCGGCTGGCCTCCTTTTCTTTATTTATAGGGGTTGTTTGTGGCTGTTTTAGAGGAGTTTTTTGGAGAGAAAATATTTGGAATATAGAAAGTTGAAACGGAAGGCTAGGATTTGATGTGGAAAGAAATTCAAATGGCTTTTATAATAGATAGTATAGATTGAGTGATAATGTAAAAAAATTATCACAATGATCATCATCATAAACAACATCACTAATAGCCTAATCTAACCTATTCAAGGGTACAATAGCAAACTGTGAAGATTAAATTTTGAATATGTAAATATATGTTTAGTTCTATATGTGTAATAACCCCATAAGAAAAATGAAAAAGGAACTCAAATATTATTGTTGCAACTTGTATAATACCTCAACTTGAACCCTCGTGAGGCCAAGCGATGCACAATCTGAATCTGCTCCAGCTCTCCTAGTTGCATGGAAGGACCTCAAGCATCTTCCTTCACAGCTATAAGAGCAATATAACAAAATGCTCATAAACCCAACAAAAAAAAAGCCTTACAGACATAATAAAGCATGTGATGTTATTATGATGTTTGGCTCCACATAAAGCATTTATATGAATAACTTGATTTTGACATTGTGAATCCTAATTGATGCAAGAAAAAGCTAAGGTTCATGATTTCCTCAGTAGCTCAAATCCTTTGAAATGAAATGCAATGCCAAATAAATGAAAATATGTAATTCTAATTACGCTACTAATGAAGATGTGAAAAATCTATTGCGAATCAATAAAATATAAGCATGCAAGTATCTGAGAGAAAGCAAATTGATAATATAATCAATTACTTATAAACCTGGTTATTTCAGAAAAAAATTATAACACAAATAAGTTTGTATCACTAATAGATATCCAAAGAGAAATTAAAACAAAAAACCTAGATTACATATTAGAACAATAGAAAATTTAAAGATTATGCAAAACACTGATAAACATAGAAAAAGAAAAAAATGAATAGACCTAATCTCTTAGTCAATCAATACTATGTAAAGAAGAATGAAGCGAAGGAACAAAAAAAGAACTAGATAATTAAGCCTCACACATACTCAAGGGCAATTGCAGACCACAAGAGGCTTGAAAAGTAAAAGAACAGCACATCCAAGATAAATTGATTTCATTCAACAGCCCAAAGTATCCACAAAATTTTAGACATAGCATATTTATTCAATAGTGGGTACTGTGGAAAATAACAAAACAAAAATACAAATATATATTAAACTTTTGGTCCATCAATCACAATTGACCGTAAGGAACCATCACTACCAATATACCTACATTAGACCTATTATGTGGTACATTGGCCCCAACAAATCATATGAAACCAAAACTGAGACTAGCTTTTTGTTCATAAGATACAAGGGTTCTCATCATACTTACAATAGTCAAATATAAAATGCATTAGAGATATTGCAATTTACATTTTCTTCTAGAATCTAATACGATGACAGTTGTTTCTGCTACGATCATATGCTCTTCTCAATCATGAGTAATAATTAGAACATAATTGACATTAATAAGAATCATAAGGAATAGTCAATATTAAAACTTCGATTATAAAATGCAAAAAATTATGAGCTATGAAAACTAATGACCTGCTAATATAATAGATGGAAAGCAAATTGAAAAACATAAACACAAAGCAAGTTTGCAATCTCCTTATCAACTAAACACTATGAGCTCCCAACTAAATATTCCTCAACTAAAAAAAATTTAAGTTAAGTGTTGCATAGATGAGGATGCTCAAGTGGATGAGTGGCTTTACTCTTAGAGACAGGACATGAAACGAGCATATACATGAAAAAGTTGGAGTAGCTTCAGTGGAAGATTAGATTAGAGAGAGTCGCCTTAGATGGTTTGGTCACATAAAACGGCGGCTTTCCAATGATCTGATTAGGAGGGTAAATGTATTAGACATAGCTGTCAATGGCGCAAAATAGCGCGCGCCATGGCGTACGGCGCGGCGCGGCGCACCTACGGCGCCATGTTCATGGTGAGACGCATGTGTTTAAAATAGCGCGCGCTATTTGCGCCACATGTGAGCCATGGCGCATTGCGCACGGCGCAAAATAGCGCGCCAAATTGTTTTTAAATTTTGGTATACTTATGAATATTTTTTATACCGCTCGGTACGGCTAGTTACATTCTCTGTACCGCTCGGTACAGCTCGGTACAACTAGGTACACGCTCGGTACCGCTAGGTACACGCTCAGTATCGCTAAGTACATGCATGATACCGCTCGGTACCGCTCAGTACATGCTCAATATTGCTCGGTACATGCTTTGTACCACTCGGTACCGCTCAGTACAACTAGGTACACACTCGGTACCGCTCGATACATGCATGATACCGCTCGCTAAGTACATGCATGATACCGCTCGGTGCCGCTCCCTAATTTCCATACAAACGAACTTCAAAATTTCTCTTACAAAAAAAAATTTGTTAAGAAAAGTAGAGATAGACCTATAAAGGTCGAACCCCGCCAGGGAGCAGCGCCCCCTTGGACCCCCGGCAGCCCCCATATTATGTTTCTTGGACAATATTATGTTTCTTTTATCTAAATTTGTTTGTTTTTAGGTGATCATAAAATGTCAGATTCAGTTCTTATAGGATTATTAAGTAGCGGTACCGAGGGTGATGAAGAGGATTATGAAATCTTTTATTATTATGATAGCTTGTCTTTCATTTTTAATAATATTTCATATTCATGCTTATTATTTTATAATTTTTTATATAACTTGCGTCATGTTCAAAATAGCGCGCGCCGCGCCGTGCGCTATGCGTCATGGCTCCAAATGGACCTTTGCGCCATGGTGCGCCATTCGCCGTTAACAGGTATGGTATTAGATTTGGTTTATGTTAAGAAAAAGTAGAGATAGACCTATAAAGACTTGGTTAGAAAATATTAGAAATGACCTTTCTTTATTAAATTTAAATGAGAATTTGATTCTTAAGAAGACACAATGGAGAAAAAGGATTCATGTAGCCGACCCCATATAGTGGGATAAAGGCTTGATGTTGTTGTTGAAAAGAATTTGATCCAATATAATGTTGGCACATATAGCCTTTTAGAACCTTGGGATATATTTGTAGTAGCTCCTATATATATAAACATGAATCATCACCTAAACTTATGTTCTTCCACTTATTTACCTATTATGCATCTCCAACTAACATTATTATTACCTTCTGTAATAATATTAATTTATTAACTTCTTTGCATTATGCATATCACATAATATCATCTTGCAAATCTCCTAATACTTTCTTGCATACATTGAAATCGCTGCTAAATTCTAGCCGGTCACACAATATAACAAATCACCCAAAATACATTAATCACTCCAATTTACTCGTCCACTTGAAAATAACAAATAAAAAGAAAGTTTCATTGTCATTCCCTACACAATAATTGATGGAGAAAGCTCATGAATGCAACATCTATTCCTTATAATTATTTTAGTCAAACCTTAAGGCCCAGGAATTTAGAGGTTGTTTGGTATGCAGGATTAGTAGGGTAAAATAATGTAATTACCTGCATTTCTTAAATTAAGGTGTTTGATTATTTTTGAGCGGAATAGAAGAAAGTAGTCGGATGCATTAGCCGTGTATTAGCGGAGGCCAATCCTGTGATTTCAAAATCCGCTCAATTTGAGCGAGTTACAAATTCTCTCGCGCGATAACTAGCCTCGTGCGATGATGTCGCGGAAGCTGAGCGTATAAGTTCCCTCTTCTTCTCCATTCTTCCCACTCTCCCCAGCTCTCTAGTCTGAATCCCCCAACAGTTGTTGTCTCTCTATCTAGAAGCCGATGACGCCTCTCCGCTCGCCTTTTCCTCCCGCCCTCTTCTTCCACCACTTCCAATAGCGACAGGAAGCTACTCCCGGTTCTTCTCTACTACCATGGCGGCGCCTTCTATGTCATGAGCTCCGCCTCCGCCGTCTACCACAACTACCTCAACTCCCTCACTGCCAAGGTTGACGTCCTTACTCTGTCAGTTAACTACCACCTCGCACCCAAGAACCCGCTCCCCGCTGCCTATGACGACTCCTGGGAGGCGCTTCGCTAGGTAGTTGACGACACAGATCCTTGGTTGTCGGATTTTGGGAATTTGGGCAACATTATTCTAGCAGGCAACAGCGTCGGGGGAAACATTTCGCACAACTTGGGTTTGTTGCTTGGAAGTGCTGGGATGAAGGTGGAGGGGCTGGTTTTGATACATTCTTCTGGTTCTCAAGTTTATGCTGTTTGTGTCATATATCCATGTAAGAAGAGCGTAGAAAGCTATGAAACATATGGGATTAACAGAGTTACTAAAGCTCTTCAACTATCAAATAAAAAAATGTCTGCTTGATTTCATCTGTCAAATTAAAATGTTTCTCAATCTCTTATATATCTTTGTTTAATTTGAATCATTTGGCTTTCAATTGTTTAAGATTTTGGAAAGTGATAGGGATAAATGTTCGTATTTTGATGAGATCTCCGGTCAGTCCATAAGGCGGGTGAGTAGGAATGGTGAAGGATGGGAGTTCCATTGAAGAGAAGTGGAGAATTATCTCAGGAAGGGGAAGATGATTGTTTATTAATTAATTCCTTTTGATCTAATGATTTACCAACCACTGATTTAGTATATCTTTACTCGTAACAAGATGATTGCAAGTGTTCTTCATTATATATTCTGAACCATCTATTAAATAAGAATGAGTGTGCCCCGCACTCCAAATAGCTAAATTAATCAAAGTTAGATGCTGAAATGGTTTGTTAATCTATTTCTGAAGTAGCTGTTGTGATTGAATGGGTTATAATTTCCATGGGTCTTCTTATATTTCATTGTTGCTTAAATCATTTTTTTTATTGTAAAGAAAGATTCATAATTGATGGTGTTTGTTCATCTATTTTATCCTTTTTTAGTGTATATTGTTGAAGGTAACATGAAAGGGCTTTTAACAATGAAGCTGGAGACATTCAAGGGAATTTTTTTATTCTGTAATGACATTCAAGTGAATTTAAAACATTTAATAATTCAGTTAGCTTACATTATATGAAGAAGAGCATGACTCTATTTTTTGAGTTCTTTTGAAAGCAGTGGAGGGAGATCATCCTTGCCAAAACTACAAGACGGGAATTCTATAATTTTATAGTGCTCCTCATCTTCTTGCGCATTAAATCTATTTGCTTTCTTCATCGCATAGATATATGATCCATTATAAGCTGATAAGAAGACTGGTGTTCCTATCCTTGCAGACAGTTTAATCTGATTTATAACATGTGTATGTACAATAGAGTTCTTGTTCAATGACAAATGGTATATAACTAATACAATTCATTTCTTTTTATTTTGCTTTTCATTTAATCTTCATTATTTCATATCCATAAGCATTTCATCTCATGCACAAAGCAGTGAAAAAGTATGGATAAGCAACCTTATAAATTTGTACTTATCTTTTGA